GTTTTTCCATTACACTAATCATTGACTTTTAGTTATTTTGTAATCTTGAAGATTGTAATTTTCATCATTTCATATTTTGTTTGACTTTGATTTCATCATCTCCTGTGTCTTTTTGTTTCATTTTCTCAATAAATGCCTGGAACGTGATGTTCATTTTGTGTGGCGAAGGATACTCTAAAATCTACAATGTTTAAATTGTTGGTGTACCTGAAAATCAATCACCCATTGGTGTATGTCATTCAGATATTTATTGTCAGTGTACAACATGGATCATAAAGATCCTCTAGTACTTTATGTCTTAAATGGTGTCTCATTTCGTTTATTGTTTTTTTGTTATTTTTTTTTGTTGTTTTCTATTACATCATCATTAATAAACAACTACTTAGAATCAAATCAAGGTGAAGATTATAAACAGTTAACTACTGATGTTACTGCTGAAGTAAATCTTGTCTATCGACAAGTAAAAAGTCTCTTATGGGCGATAAGTCCGACCTTAATGATAGATCTTTCGATAAACTAGAAAATCTTGAAATTTTAGGTTGGTTGCATGTTTTTTTGTGATGTGGATTTTATGTTTAGACTTGTGTTTATCTTTTTTGTCTGATTTCAGTAAATAAGTGATGAATGTGCTTAATAATAGAGATGCACCAAATCTAAATTTATATTTAGAGTTAGTAAACAAAGTATTTGGTATGGCACGGAAATTCTCTAATTTAGTTTGAACTTTCACAGTTGGATAGAGTAACCGCTATCGATACTGATAGTTTGTTTGCGCTTAAACGTTCTTTGTAGGATTCTTTTCGAAATCTGTGCAGCTGATTAGATCGATAAACCTTCGTCGATTGGTCTACGAAAATATGAAAGAATGAGCATGCGTAGACAGATTGAATTTTCTTTTCAAAAAAAAGCCGATTATTTTATCGTTGGCTAGGGTAGAAAAAAAAGTTTCATTGAAGCAACGCTTTAGGTTTTTTCCTCCTGTTCATTTATTCTGTATGTTTCGTAAATTACAAAAAGCTCACAATAAAATCAAATCAATGATTTCAAGAAATGAATCTACCATTTGTCTTTATTTTCTTAAAGAAACAAGGAAAAAATATTTATAATAATCATATTAGCAGTAATTATAATAGCAGCACCTTCGAATGAAAGTAAAGGAAGCCAAAAAACACAGAAAATATTTTTTTATAAGTATTTTGCGCTTTGCTCTGATAACCACTTAGCGTAGCGCACTTGAAAACGACTTTTGCTAAATTTCTCCGGGGGGGGGCGGCCGCGCCGCCCGCCGGAGGGGGGGGGGGGGGGGGGGGGGGGTGGCGCGGGAGGGGGGGGCGGCGCGGCCNCCCCTTAGCGGAGCGCACTTGCAAACCCCTTTTCCAAAATTCCCCCCCCCCCCCCCCCCCCATCAAGATTATTCCCGGTTCTACAGATTGCACATAAACTATGCAGACAAGTTACACGAAAAATTGATGAAGAAGTATTCAAAAGAATCACATATCCTACTATCGGATGGGACGACATTACCATCAACCTCTTTCACTCGAAACACAACGATGTCATCAGGTCAAAATATTTCTACCGAAAAGTTTTCGGCAACATCAGTGTTTCAGTCTGGAACGCGTGAATCTTGAATGATATCAATTGGTATGGTTAGACGGAAATGTTAACAGCACTGAAGGTGATATTATATTTACACTGGAAGGTCTTCGAAAAATTGTTGATTATACAGAATTATTTGATCACGTTGAAGAATGTCAGCAATACGTTCGGATAATAACTTAGGTTCGGAAGTTCGAGTTCGACTTTAAATTAACGTTAACGCAGATTTAGCAGCAAGGTTGGCTAGACACGGCTCGTAGAACATGCCTGGAGCTTTTTTGATACTGAAAGCCTTGACCGGATATAGTTTCTCACCTTCTGCCCTTAGTTTCATGGTGTTTAATGAATTAGTGTCTCTAGGAATCAGTGTCTCACACAGGCTGCAGTCTGCAATTGTGGGTCATTTTCAAACAATCTGGGATAGTCTATATGATCATAACATTTAACCTTTTAACCCTTTCCCTCCCTCACAGCGGTTCCAGAAGAGCCACTGATGAAACAACTGCTGGAATAGAGTACTGGTGTCTCCAATATGGCAATAGTATGGTTAGGCGCACTCTTGTTGGTGCAGAGTAGTTTGGTTACCCCAGTGACCATTGGGGGCGAATGACTAGAAAAGGACCTATTTTGGGCTTTTGTAAATTTGATATAGTTCGACCAAACAACGTTATAGAGAGCTCGGGGACATGTCATTTGTAGAGAATTGTTTGCTCTATCATTCTATGCAGTTTATTTGCAGGTTGTAGATGCTGGAAAACTACAGTGGTTACAAAAATTGATCAACTCGTTGTATTTTCGATTTTTTCCGTAACCATAAATACTAAAAAGCTTCAAATAGTGGCGTGAGTAGGGAAAATTATTGCTAGCTAGGATCTGCGAAAATAAAAATCGCCACTGGATTCCCAATAATAGAGTTTTCTAGAAAACCAAAGCGCTAGTTTTCCGGCAACTAGAACTTGCGAATAAAATTTTTTCAAACTACGTAGAATGATAGAGCAAACCATTCTCTACAAAATGAGATGTCCCGAACTCTCTGCGACGTTTTTTGATCGAACTATATCAAATTTGCGAAAGCTCAAAATGGAACTTTTTCAAGTCATTCCCCCCAATGGTCACCGGAGTGATCATTCTGTATCATATCATCTCTTATCGGGTATGTTCGAGGAAGACAGACTTGTTATCTGTGGGATGGTTCATTCACTCCAGTGAGACTCAGTTTTTCTGACCCGACTAGGATTCTACACCAGGAAATCTGATTACATCATGTTCTCGCAGAAAGTCCAAGTAAAACATGGTCTAATTAAGTCTGAAATAGGATATCCAAACGTGCAAGAAGAAGAACTACCAGTCTGAGAATGTATTCACAGTCTTTCTTCCACGGTCTTTATATTTTTGAGAACCGTATTATCTACTTTCACCGTGTTTTACCCGGTTTTCTCAGGAACATAATGCAAAAAGGTCAACGTTTAACTGCATTGCTTGTCATAACAAGCGAAAAACTCATATAGAATATTTTTATCAGAGTTGGTCGCGGGAAATTCATCCAGAAATTTTCCGGACTTTTAAATCCTGATGAAATTACACCCGGGCGGAGTTGCATGGGCGAGTAGCATTTTCAGATAAAAAGTCTTCCCAGATTTAAAAACATCATGACACTCCTCGAATTACAAGGTGCACATTTTCCTAGGAGGGAAAAGCGGATCCGGCATCCATGCGCGTACAAAGGTGTGTAGAATGAAAGAACATGTGATTTTATGGTGCTCCAGGCCCCTGGTTGCCCTTCGGACTTGATATCTGTGAGAAAATTGATTAGCTTTGACCAATAGCTCCGCGAACTAGAGGTCTGCGGGACAGTCCCAGTCCCGGTCCGCGGGGCGTTTTACGGGACCGAAACCCAGAAAAATCTTTTGTACGGGACCGGGACCCAGAGGTCTGCGGAAAGATCCCAGTCTTGCGGGATTGTCCCAGTCTCGTGGAACTTTTAATAGGACCAGGACCAGATTTTTTTGAAAATAGTCTTGTATGAAGTATAAAAATTTCTTAGTTTCCGTACCTGTTTGTATGTAGGCAGTAGTTCTGCGAGAAAGAATTCACACATAATTCGAAAAGTCCTCAGTTAATAATCTCATCCCATAGTGCTATTTTCCAGATTAGCTTGAATTAGTGTCGCGCTGACACA